ATCTCGGCCATCCGGCTTCAATTAGTGCTCTGGAGCTTGTTATTGGAAAGGGAGGCGAGTAACATAAGGTATGGCTAACCCGATGTCGACTACACCAGCATGTGTGCCTGCTTCTCTGATTTCTTTCACGGATGATGAGAAATGAGGTACTTTTTTATTAGTGGTCCTATATTAATGAAACGGTGAAAATTCGTTCTGAAAAAGTTAATTGGGTTATTTGAGGGGGGGGGATTTCAGAAAAAACATTATCAAGGTTTTTCGTGATATGAGGAATCTATTGGTGATAGCAGCATTTCCTAAAAATGCACAGCTAGTTTGGATTAGCAAAAATTTCGTGATTATATTATGAAAGCAATGTATTTAGCCAGTATGGATAGATATTACACTTCCTTTTTACCTGAATGGGTCCCACAAGTCGTTATGTCCAGTAAATCACATTCGGTCGCTTGAGGGAAACTCGGATGCGTGGCGCACTCCAAAAAGAGACTAATCAATCTGACAGCTCATCATACATATGTTGGATTCGATTTTCTCTATGTTTGCATTATTTCCATGTGAAAAATTCTTCATTCTTCAGATCGCCTGCATAGGCCCACTAATTTACACAATTGTGCACAAAGGATGTAAAACGGTTGAGATACCGCACACACGTCTTATTTTCCTGTTCCTGGTGCTGGCATGTATCTGTCAATTAGGTAGGAGTTTTAAATAATCCTAATTAAATGAAGCGTATTTATTTCACCTCGCACTTCTAGAAATATGGTTCGATTTTGGTGCGATGTGCAATGGTGAGTGGGTGACGTTGGGGGGGGGGGGGCAGTCCAATAGTGTCAGGGCTACGGTAACTTGCACATGCTTAGGAGAGGCTAGCCTGACCCCAAGCCTGTGGAGGAGACGAGGAGGGGCTCTGGAAGTCGTTTTCCATAGCGCAAGAGTCCCTTCCCTCCTAGACTTGGGCCTTTGACACAAAACTGAGGATCATCGTAACCCCGACATAATGTGACAGGCATACTGTCGGGGCAGAGTGCTGCCTAGTTTTTTTATGAATAAGTTCAAAAAATATTTTATAGTAATAATGAAAGTATTCGTTTCAAATGCTTGGCCATTGTTGAGCATTGGCAACGTCCAGAAAGTAGACACCGAAATGTTTCAGGTCTGGTTTTTCTTTGGAAAGGCACCGTCGTTATCGGCTCAAAGAGCTATTCTCTTGCACTTTATTTGCTACTGTTCGGTTTGGCTGTCGTTGATGCCATGTCAAATGTTTTGTTCATGCCTTTTATGGCAAACTTTCATCCAGCATATTTGAACGCTTATTTCGTTGGAATGGGCTTTTCATCGCTGATCCCGAGCATTCTTGCTCTAATACAAGGTAACTGCAATTCAAATTTCCGTACTCTTTGAGGTCGCTAGATATTATGGACACTAGACTAGTCCAAAAGGACAGTATCACCAACTCGTACATGACTGCCCAGAAATCCTTGCAGATTCCATATCGCTTTCAAACGCCCCTACAATTCGAAGGGATATGGAATGCGAGGCATGCGCGGCGCGCGGCGCATCCCGAAAAAAGCGTCGAATGCCTTATCTTTAAAGGCAAAGTTCGGCTCAGACCCACCTAAGAAGCCCTTACCATGGCTAGAAGTGCTGGGTACGCAAGTGCAAAGGTAGCGCCACCTTTCTACATCGAAACGCGTCACTAGGACCCTAGGCGCCATGGACTTCTAACAGACTCCACCAAACTTAACATGGTCCGCCCACCGTTCGATATCTTGTCTGCGTCGCCACGTTGATCTGCTATGCTCTCTCTTCTCGGACTTCTCTACCACTCTCCGCGCTCACATTATCTCTCATCTCCCCTGTCTTTTGAACTTCTCCACAGCATGGAGCAAAATGCTCGTATTTCCTGTGTATTTCAGGATTTTCTTTCCTTTTTTCTCCACTGGCGGTCCACCTCCCATCCCTTTTTCACATTTGAGTGGAATACCTCATCAGTTTAATCCTGATTCTTGCCTTTAATCTTCCAGTACCGGGGATGGTCCTTCTATCTGTGCTGGACTGCAGTTTAGGGATCTTCACAATTGCAGGGTCTTCGAGCTACGTTTGTGACGGTGACATACCACGCTACACACCGCCGCGGTTTAGTGCGGCCATCTTCTTCCTCATCATATTCTTCTCCACTTGCATGTCGACTGCCGCTTTTCTTGCCCTCTACATAACAGCAATCAAGAAGTAAGCTCGATCATTTCTCGAAACCACTACTATTTGAAGGCAAGGCTTTGAACAAATACCATATTCTATAGTACAGCTGATTAGGCCGAGCCCTAGCGAACAAAGTGAAAGCAGTCCTGTAAGTGCTTCAGATGCGACCGAAACTGAAAGGGCTAGTGAAGACGAAGAGGTGGGCACATAACTTGAACTTCAAGTAAGTCTTCCTAAAGCACAGAAGTCATTTTTAGATTTTGCAAACAAGCCGACCGCTTCCGTGGCGTTCATACTTATTCATTCTGCTGGCGGTTTCCTTGGTAAATGCACAAATGAACGGAATCATTCCCAGCATTTCCAGCTTCTCTTCCCTACCGTATTCCCAGGTTAGTGACCGTATTCGTGAGTTTCCTCTTCCTTTCTCCGAAGCTACTTTTTCAGGCGACATACCATTATAGTATTGCTCTA